TTTTTGCTGTCAGGGTGCATCTTGCCAGCTGCCAGTCACTCTTCTTGTAAACTGGAGAGCTAATGACAGCACCAGGCTGTCAGCACCCTTCAAGGGAGAGGCAGTGAAAGCCCAGTGGTGGGGAAGGACAATAATTAGCTCTCTTTGCTGGGCCCCACTGCTACAAACAGCCTCGTGGAGGCTCCACTGGCACATGCAGACAGCTCAGGGAATTCATACTCTTAGCTATAATGGTGATGGGCAGTCAGATCCCACAGGATTACCTTGAGAGTGAAGGAGAGACAAGTGCCCAGTGTGCACATCAGCCTGGACAGATTTTGCATCTCATTCCCATTCTGGCTCTCTCCTCTGCTTCACTGAATCTTTTTGCCCACTCCAAGGCAGGGTTGATCCCTCCTGCTCATATCCAGGCACTTATTCACTGGACAAATAGGGAGGTTGTGCTTTGTCCGTGACACAGCAGGGTGAGTGTCTAGTGTGGATCCAGCTTCCAGTGCAGAATGCCCCCCCAGGAATGGCAACTGCTTCCTGCAATGACTGAGGTGTCTGGGAGCCTCTGGATAAGGCACAGAGGTTTCCAGGACCTGCCTGGCAGAGCAGACCATGTCCCAGCACGGGATGGGCTGCAGCTGTGCTTTCAAACACCTCCAGTTTGAGTTGCTTTTGGCATCTTGTCAATCAAATAAAATGCAAGTTTGATTATTTGCATATCTGGTGACAAAGGATTCTTTTTTCTGAGGAAAACCAAAGGAAAAATGGAAGAACTGCTACTACACCCCTTAGTCTGAGAGCTGACCTGTGCTAGGAGATGGGAGCTAGGAGGATGTGGTTTGCTTTGCTCATTCATTATGGTGTGTGTCAGAAAGCATCACCTGAGGGAAACCAGATGGCACTGGGGACAGGTGACCTTGCACTTTGACAAGCTCCTGCCTCTGTGCAGGTTGGAGGGACTTTGTCACTACACCAGGCACTGTCATGAGCCACACTGTCCCACTGTGTGGACCATGATGCCCCTGAGCTCTTGCCAGGCTGAACACAGTCATGCTCTGATATGAATCCACAGCAACATGTGGCTGAAGCTC